ACAGTTTTAACATCTACTTTAAGATACACCATTTTTTGCTAATTTCCTTTCAGTGATTTGGCTATGTGTGGGTTTCGGATCTTTCGATTATATCTTGTATTTATATATCAAAGTATTGCGTTGTGTGATTCAATCACGATGTATTTGAAAGCAAATTATGACCACAAATAAAAACAAAAAGTAAATATGTAATTTTTTCTTAATTTTTAATTTGAATCAAAATCCACTGTTAGAGTATGTGTATAGAGTGCAATGTGTGAAAGAATATATTAAAAAATCCTTCAAAATGAAATTAACTTATCTACTTATAGAAACAATATGGAGAATGGAAAATCTTTGGTATATCTTTGGTATTCCTTTTGAAAATAAACCTCTACTGTTAGTATAAATTTGAATTTGGACCTGAAATTACCTAATTAAAATCGTGTAAGCACCTTCAAGGAGAATGGAGAAGGTTAAGAAGCTTTTGGAGAAAGTATATTACAAAAGAAATTTCAAGGGGTTAAAACCTGGAAATCAATTATGCAAATAATGAGGGCAAGTATTCTAGCCTCTTAATCATTTAAGCATAAGGGTCTATCAATCCTCAGTAACAAAACTTTTACCATACCTCATATTGCCTTCCATAAAGCAACACATATTGAAGTGGAGAACCTTTAAACATAAAGTTGCAATGGGAGAAACAATTGATAGTAAAAGGAGAAAATTTTTTAAAAAAAAAAGAAGGAAAAACCAACATTTTTATGTGAGCTTCATCAAATAAATAAATAAACAAATAAACATTTTTATGTGAGGAAGGGTAGAATCTGCCCAAAAGTGCAATATTTATTATTTATTTATTTTGTCATCCATTCAATATTTTATTGAAGATCATTTTTGTTTTTTTTCCTTTTAGTCTCACATATTGAAGATTCTCTATCTGGTAATTCATATCTGGTAATTCATATCTGGTAATTCCTATTTGGTAATTCCTATTTGGTAATTCCTCTTTAGTTGATCATTATATCATGGTTAATATATATAAAATATTTAACTAATAAATACCTTAAAATCAGCTTCCTATTAATTAGAAAGTTGAAGTAGAACCTTTTAGTTCACCACCTTATAGGCTTTTCATTGATTTTCTACATTATATAAGTACTAAATTTACTCATTCTTGTTTTTTATAGAAATCAATATTAAGG